AACTGGATCTAAAAACCAGTCCTTAAGAAAGAAAATAGGAGCTGAAATGCTACAGAATGATTCTTAGAATACCATGGACAAAGAAGAGAAAAAGTACTACATTTTAAAAGATCTCAACATCAAGGAAGAATGGCTAATAAACAGCATCTTGTCTCGGAAGCTGAAATATTTGTCATATCAAGCGTCATTGCGGATTGGAAAAAAATAATAGCAGAAAGCATGGTTCCAGGATGGAGGGGCAGGGGCCGACCAACACGAAGATGGTCACTGGATATAAAAGACTTCTTGAATATAAAAGTACACGAGGCGGGAAAGCTGGCGAGAGACCAAGTTTCTTTCAGGCAGACTGTGATGAGAGCGACATTCTACAGAGGAACTGCTTCATGATGATGATGGATCTTTAAAAAAAAAATTTATGTAGGTTACAAAAAAAAAAATACTTCGGAATTTACAAGTTACATAATAGGTGGCTGGGACTGAAAGTGTTAAGGCTGCACCATTGCTTGAACCAACTGTTTTAAGTTTCAGTTTGTATCAACTAACACCCCCCCCCCCCCCCCAAACAAACAATGTCTATCCTTTACCAAGAATCAAACTGAAGTCTCCCCCACTCTAACCCTTTACCTGTCTAGAAAAAATCCAGCCATCCATCAAGAAGTCTCCACGGCGTAAGTTAGTGTTCATAGTATTTCCCAGTCGTCTGAAATGCAGAAGTGCTAAACTACACATGGTGGTGCCCTAGGTCGTGGCATTATACTGGTCAGGACAACTCTCTCTCTACATCTCTCTGTGGTCATTCTTGAAATGGGTTCCCTAGCAATGGCCTGGCCAGCGCACACATGATCGTTTCCTACAAAAGCAGGGCATATCTGCCTGAGAGGCAAGGGACAAACATTCTGCCCACAAATAAGCCAGATCTGTAAAGCAGATGTGCACAATAGTCCTGGAATAATACGAAAATTCCAAAGGGGATGCGCAACTAAGACTTTCCATCGGGATGCGGTTTTGATGGCAGAAGCAGACAAACACATTACAAAATGTACTCTACTGCTCCTTCAGCCAATCATAACGTTGTTATCCCTTAGCTGCTGACTACATCAGTGATTTATAACTTGACACTTAGAACTACGCAACTGTCTAGCAGCGTTGTCCAGGACTGAACTACGCAACTGTCTGGCAGCGTTGTCTAGGACAGAACTACGCAACTGTCTAGCAGCGTTGTCTAGGACTGAACTACGCAACTGTCTGGCAGCGTTGTCCAGGACAGAACTACGCAACTGTCTGGCAGCGTTGTCCAGGACAGAACTACGCAACTGTCTGGCAGCGTTGTCTAGGACATCCAATCTTCTTGTTTAATGAAGCGGTAAGAATCTCTTAAACACACGACAATCAAGCATGTTGAAATTCTGCAACGGTCTCTCTCTCTCTCTCTCTCTATATATATATATATATATATATATATATATATATATATATATATATATATATATATATTATATATATATATATATCTTGTGTGCCTGAAAGTGCGCACGTGTGTGTCTGTTGTCGCTTTTTTATTGTACAAGTATCATTGTTTGAGACAAGAGTGTTAACAATCACAAAACAACTAAAACACAACTAATCATTGGGTTCTAATTATTTATCTGTACTCTTATCTTGGACAACGCACACTGTGTGATGACCTTCTCCTCACGTTTACCATTGTGACCTTTCTTCTGAATTTTCAACTGAAAATATCAGCATGACATGTGCGATGACCTATTATTATTCATGTGTTACAAACAATTTTTGTGTTAAGTCCCCTTTTCCACGCCTTCAGGCATACTGGGCATATAGGGCCTGACCTATATTTTATAGACCAATCGGCACTTAGTGGGTGATGTGGTCAGCATCACGCAGGTCACCTTTACTTCCTAGGACGGTACCTGGTACCCACTAAAAGCTCCGCCAACCTGGGAGCTAGTGTAATTTTTTTAAATAATCCGGCTCCATCAGGACTCGAACTCACTACCTTTCGATCTGCAGGCGAGCATCTAGCTGCTACACCATAGCAGATCTCATTGTTCATGTGTGACAATCACCATAACATCATGATGCCCTGTTCATCATGTACACCAATCAGAATGTCATGTGTGATGATGACCTGTTCAACATGTACACCAATCAGAATGTCATGTGTGATGATGCCCCGTTCATCATGTACACCAATCAGAATGTCATGTGTGATGATGCCCCGGTCATCATGTACACCAATCAGAATGTCATGTGTGATGATGACCTGTTCCTTATGTACACCAATCAGAATGTCATGTGTGATGATGACCTGTTCATCATGTACACTAATCAGAATGTCATGTGTGATGATGCCTTGTTCATCATGTACAACAATCAGAATGTCATGTGTGATGATGCCCCGTTCATCATGTACACCAATCAGAATGTCATGTGTGATGATGCCCTCCCTGTTCGTCATGTACACCAATCAGAATGTCATGTGTGATGATGCCCTGTTCATTATGTACACCAATCAGAATGTCATGTGTGATGATGACCTGTTCATCATGTACACCAATCAGAATGTCATGTGTGATGATGCCCTCCCTGTTCATCATGTACACCAATCAGAATGTCATGTGTGATGATGCCCTCCCTGTTCGTCATGTACACCAATCAGAATGTCATGTGTGATGATGCCCCGTTCATCATGTACACCAATCAGAATGTCATGTGTGATGATGCCCTCCCTGTTCATCATGTACACCAATCAGAATGTCATGTGTGATGATGCCCTCCCTGTTCATCATGTACACCAATCAGAATTTTATGTGTGATGATGCCCTGTTCAACATGTACACCAATCAGAATGTCATGTGTGATGATGCCTTGTTCATCATGTACAACAATCAGAATGTCATGTGTGATGATGCCCTCCCTGTTCATCATGTACACCAATCAGAATGTCATGTATGATGATGCCCTCCCTGTTCATCATGTACACCTATCAGAATGTCATGTGTGATGATGCCCTGTTCATCATGTACACCAATCAGAATGTCATGTGTGATGATGACCTGTTCATCATGTACACCAATCAGAATGTCATGTGTGATGATGCCCTGTTCATCATGTACACCAATCAGAATGTCATGTGTGATGATGCCCTGTTCATCATGTACACCCATCAGAATGTCATGTGTGATGATGCCCTGTTCTTCATGCACCCCAGTCAGTATATCATGTGCTATGTCCTATTCCCATGCATAACAAACAGCATTACATGTGTGATGACATTGTCTTCATAAATAACAACATTTAATGTGATGACCATCCTGTGCACAAACCAGCATGTCATGTGTAATGACATATTATTCATATGTACCAGTAAGTATTGGGTCCCAGGTCGACCCAGCCTTGAGTGGGTACTGGGTTCAGTTCCAGGAAAGTAAACGCGGCCAGCGTGATGTTGACCACACCACCCATCTTGTGCAGATTGGTCTATAAAAATATAGGTCTAGCCCTATAAGCCCTATATGCCTGGATAAGGGTCCTTTACTTTGTACTTACCCGTAAGTATGACATTGCAGCGCCCATGGCTTAGGCATTGTGAGTCCGACTCGTAATTCCAACGTACCGCGATCGAAACTCACTGCTGGCTGCGTGGATTTTTATCATGGTATGGGGTGTGGCAGGTCGACCCAGCCTAAAATGGGTACTAGGATGGCTGTCCTGGGGAAGTAAAGACGGCCGGCATAATACTGACCACATTACCCATCCAGTGCTGATTGGTTTGTAAAAATATGGGACGCTTTTTCAATATAACCGATGCACCTAAGGTGTGAAAAGGGACCTTTTTTTTTTTTTTAAGTATGACATTATGATTACCTATTCTTCTTGTGAACCAACCATGACATGTGCAATGACATATCTGTCAAGTGTACCAGTCAGCATATAATATGTGATGACCTTTACATGAATTAAAACCTATTCTTCACGGGCACCAATCATGTCTTGTGTGATTATACTTCTTACATGGAGTCATAGCACAGAAAGGAAATCTGACCATGCATTTGGTGTTTCAGTGTTTTGTAACAAGATGTGCATATTTGACCTTGTAACAGTAATAAACTTGGGATTTGTTGTACCACTGTATTCTCCCCCCCCCCCCCTTTTTCCCCTCACTTGCTTGTTGCTGTGACCTAGAACTGAGAGGTAAATTGCAGTCTTAACAGCACATGCAAAGGTTCATCAGCTGACAGAGGACAACTCTAGGCTAGATGTGATTATATACACTGATGGAGTCAGTGGCTAGGGGCAGAACGAGTGGATGGGGCTTTGTAGTGAAAGCGTGGGGGAGAAGGATAACTGAGGGGAGCTTGGCATAAGACATTACCACATCCAGCATGAGAATGGAGGTTGAGACAGTTACTGCCGTATTCGGACGGGTGGAAAAAATCTCTGCGACAGATTTGGTCATAGTATCAAATTCATAAAGCATGCTAAGGAAAGTGGCATCAGGTTTTCTTCATATGAAATAGGTCGCATCAATCCAGAGATCACAAGTGGAGGGAGTCACATAGAAATTTTTGCCCCGAGCCATGTGGAGAATGAGCAGGTAGATAGGTTGGCTGGACTGGCTCCCTTTGGGAAGTGGGGGGAGGGGGGGGTGGAGTGTACTACAACTGCACAAGGCAGAGGTGCTCTCTCAAGTGTGGGATGAGGTAACAAGCAAAATGGAAGACACTTAAAACTCGTGCTTGGAACGAATGATGCACTGGAAGAGCACTTGGCAAGCAGCTAGCTGTTCTGCGGAGAGACCAAGCCATATGGGATCAAACCCAGTGCAATGACGTGGATCCTCTTGACTTTAACCTCTAACTACTCTCCAACAAAACCACATGAAGAAAAACAGCAGGAAAATATCCAAAAAGCTCAAAAATATTCACAATTATGCAATATTTATTAACAGTTCACCATACAAAACTTTTAGTAAACTTCCTTCACTTCACAGACAAATTGTTCAACTGTTTAGCAAGATGAGAATGGTTGAGATCATAGGCTTCCTGCGAATCCTTCACTACTGTAGAAGATTCTTCTCCCTCAGCTGCATCCTGAGACACAGGTGCAGGATCACCTGAAGATTCAGCAGTAACCAATCCTTTGTCCTGCTGTAAAGTTGGCTTCAACAGTTGGTCCGTCTTCCGCAACAGGCATGCCTCTTTATATGGTGGGTTAATGGGTGACTGGGTCGGCTCATGGTAAACGTATGTTTTGCCTGGCGCAAGCTGGAATAACAACATAATTATAAGCCATTCAAAAAGAAATTAGGACTACAATCATATTAACAATGTTTTCGCTTTTGTAAAATAAAAGGTAAAGTCAGGAGATGTCAACCAGCATCACTGAACACAGTTATAAACCGTAAGTGCTCTGCCAGTACGGATGGTTGATAAGAAACTGTCCGCCTGTGTCGCCGTTTGCATGGAACTGCAGCGACGTTCCTCCATGTACCTCAGAGTGTTAACTCCAGTACCCATTACCTAGAAGCTGTGTGAACCCAGGGAACCGCCCGATTTTGAACACGTGGGCTGCAGCAAGTTGCCGCTGGATTGAAAGCCAGTCTCTGATCTACTGCGCTAACGCGGCCGCACCCTTTTGTAAAGTATTCATAGGCATGGTCAAAGTTCACAACTCATAATGCTATCTACAGCATGCTTGCCTAGAGGACAATGCATCTTTTTTTTTTCCTCCAAAAAACTCACATGGGAAAATCATGCTTTTAACTGCAGTTGTTTCTATGCCACTACAGCGCAGACCTGGTAGGAAGAATTCACCAGTACCCAATTAAAAATTCATCTGGATAAGAGTTCAAGCAAGAAGAATTGCCAACAATTGTTTCTTCACAAAAGAAATTTGCCTTAGCAGTTAATACTGCACAACATTTAATACACAAACAGAATTTTGTCTGTGGCCTAGGGGTATGAACGTAGTAAGCATAAGGAATTAAAGTTCCACAATTCCAACATTTTAATTCAGCTGCAGGCATTTTTACAGCAGACTGCTTTGCACTGATTTTGACAAAGGAATGAGCCTCAAACTGCTGAGAAAGCAATGGAAAAGTACTGAATGCAAAACTGCCTAGTTCCCCATGTGGGTTCTGAGCCCTATTGGGAGGAAAGGGGAGAACAGGTTGCGCTGCCCCAAACAAAAACGTAATAAAAGGTAATTATTTTGAAATTTGTTGAAACTGATGTGTTAGGCCAAAAAAACGCATTTATCCCAGCCCAGCTGTAAACCACAACACAATGTGCCAGCCACACGTTTGAATGGTGAACGCCAAAGAAGTAGAAGAAGAAATGGCCTAGTAACATCCACAAACAGTCAACAAATGCTGTTGTTGATCTCAAATGTTCTGTAAAGGATGCAATTAACTGTTTATAATTCACTATTTCAGTTTCATGACATTGGAAAAAACCAAAAGTATGCCTAAAAGAAGGTGTTGATACAGCGTATTAGCTCCAAAAAAAGGGCTGGTGGTAACACATTCGTTGTGAAGTTGGAGCTGCACATAACAATAATGAAACAAAATCAGAAACATTTTTTAAAAATAAGTCAGTAGCTGAGGTTCCAATGTCACTGCAGATGGGTCACCCCACAACAGCTCTGTTACTGTGCCAATGGAAATTGCACAAAATGTCTTTAACTGTCCCATGTGAAAAGTAGTGAAAACTTGTCAGTCCCAGCAAATCTTGAAGCCTGCATATGCTAAGCAAAAAATGCACAAGGCAGCTGTCAGATGTGCCAATACTAACGGTTCCACTTCCACACCCACCAGAATTGCAGCTCACTGTTGACACAATCAATCACAAAACCCAGAATTGCACCTGCCGTTCTGAGCGTAATCAGGCACTCACCATTTTAGTTGTCAAAAACATGCCGTAGGCACAATAGAAAAAAACATTCCACATTAAATTCAGAGCTCAGTGTCACACCAGACACCCAACTCAGCAGCCGGGCAAAGGAACCCTTGGACTCTCAATCCATAAATGGTAAATGTGCATCACAAAAACCTAGGTGGAAACAAATAACTTTTAACAGAGACAGAGGTCAGCCATTTTGGCCAGGAATCCTGTATTGACAAGAAAATATAGGTACCTCAAGAGGATAAGTCATGTCTGAATCAAAGCCGCTGAGGTCACCACATGCCAGAAAGGGGACTATGATTCTGTTTGGGCCCTCAAGATTGTTGAAATCCACATCTGAAAGGATAAAAATGATACATCATTATCATGTGCTGTACCAGATTATAAGTTCATGTTTCCACATAGATCTCGATCCCTGGTGCTCTAGATTGGTTCTTCTTCCTTATACTTAAAAAAGTTGATCAGACATTGTGTTTTGCTTTACAGATATCTGCACCTTTCGGCCCAAAACATCAGATAACAGCAAACTGCTCATCAGTCACCTTTATCTCAACAGACATGTGGGGGGTGAGAGCTGAACCTACTCTTTTTCTCCCTCAAAACAGGACCTGGAATACATACGGAGAGGATTAGTTCTGCTGACACCTTAGATAAGTCGGCATGATTTCTCTCTGACTACTTCTGCTTCACACATATGCCATGGAAGTCTCCATGGTGAAGTGGTCAAGCTGTTTGCCTCGTGCTCTCAAGGTCATGAGTCCACCATTCAGTTCATGAGTGCAATTTTTATGGAGATGCCTGGAATTGTTGCCAGAGCTACAGAGTTTGTCCTTTGTGTGCCGCTCTTGGCAGACAACTAGCCGTTCTGCCGAGAGAGACTGAGCCATATGGGACAAAATCCAGTGCAGTGAAGTCGATCGTCTCGTCATTTAACTTTAACATAACCCATGTCTATATGTCCCAAGGATCTATAACCAAAAAAACTCTTTATATCGCACATCTATACGTCAGGTACATTTGTATGTCACGCCACAAATATACATATATTTTACATCACACACCTTTATCTCACTTCATACATCTATACATCACACACACACACACACATATTTCTATATATCACACACATTTATATATCACACACATGTATATGCCAAACTCATCTATAAGCTTTAAATATCTATATGTAACAAGAATTTATATGTCACATCACACACATCTATATTTCATACACACACATCAATATGTAACAACAATAATATGTCACTCGCATCTATATGTCATACATATTTATTTTTCACCCACATCAATATGTCGCACATATCAAAATGTCACACATATCTATTTGTCACATGCACTTATGTCACACACATCAATTTGTCATACACACCTATTTGTTACATACATCAATATGTCACACACACATATCTATATGTCACACACATTATAAGTCACAAACATCTATCTGTTATTCATATCTACATGTGACATCAAACACACATAATACACTATACACATTTATACATCACACACCTATACATCATACACACTTATATGTTTCTTCACTCACATATGTATGCTAGACATGTTTTAACACCTACCATAATGTTGATCCAACAAAGGATTTGACATATTGGGAATGTATCCGTCTGGGGGTGAGTAGTTCTGACACACAACAAAAGCCTCTGTGAAGAGAAACATAAAACACTATAAATCTAAACACTGGAGAAAACTGGTTCATAAGCAGCATTAAGTTTCTGCCCCAAAAAAGAAAAAAACTATCATTACTGCCATTTTTGTAACTTCTGGGGTGTAGTCTTTGAGCCTGAGGCCTCATGCTGTCATCATGGACTCTGCAGCTAGGATGTTATTTTGACTTGCAGCCCCCCCCCCCCCCCCCCCCCCTCCCACAGAAAATCCACAATCTTATTTATTATTGAGAGCCCAGTGTTCTCAACCATTCAGCCAGCCGCTTCACATAAAGCCTCTAAAAGTAAAATATTTTAACAATGGTTTAGAAAGAAAAGTATTATTCGTGCCCTACGGCTGTAAACTCTTGTGGACATTTTTGAAAAGCCTGATTCATGGGAAGAGAGGAACCAGCTGACCAGCACAAAAATAAACACAAGATATTAACCCTTTTGTCCCAAGAATGCTAAAAACCATGGGCCACAAACAGGCAGACATTTTGTGCACACAAAAAAACCTTAATAGATAACAATAATATTACACTAATATTACACATTATTATTATTGCCTCAGTTTGAATAATGGGAAGAGAGAAGTAATGGTGGTATCAAAGAAATGAATTATTCCTAAATGTGTAATAAAAGTCGATAGTGTTATGTTGGGACAAGTATAGAAATGTAAGTATCTGGGCACATGGATAACATCAGATGGAAGATGCATAACTGAGATAAAAAACAGTATAAGACAGGCAAAAACTGCATTTTATAAAAATGAAGAACATCTTGTGCAATATATCTTTTTACTGAGAGTTAGAAAAAGAATTCTTGTTTGCTACATACATCCAGATTTAACATATGGCTGTGAATCCTGGACAATCGGTAAGCAGGCTAAACAATTTCTTGAGGCCTCAGATATGTGGTTTAACAGAAGAATGCTTAGAATACCTTGGACAGCCAAAAAGAGCAACCAAGAGGTTTTGAAAGAGGTGGGAGCCCGAAGACAACTTATCACAGACATCAGAAGGAGACAGTCATCATTTTTCGGCCATGTTATGAGAAGAGGGAAAATAGAACATGTTGTGACCACTGGAAAGATCTGTGAAAGGAGGGATAGAGGAAGACAACGAGAGAAGATTCTTGACAGTATTGTTGTATGGCATGGATGTGTGTCGGCACATGAAGTGATACATGCTGCAGGAGATCGCAGATTGTGGAGAGGCATGATCGCCCATGCTAGTCGGCAAGGCACCTGATGATGATAATGATTACACAAGTCACTGTGGCATGCAAAAGAAATACAAAACCCCAGGGTGTTAAAAGAAAAAAAATGTGGCTGACTCATGCTGTCACCTCTATCAATGAGGCTTATGTGAAAATTTGACAACTAACTAACTAATCTTTTTTTTTTTAAAGAATTTTTTTTCAACCATTATCTTCTAGAGGACTTATGAACCAGTTTAAACCAGTGGTTCTCAACCGATGGGTCACGGCCCCTTTTTGGGTTAAATGACCCTTTCACAGTGGTTGCCAAAGACCTTTGCAAAACACATATTCACTGAAGTTATGAAGCAACGACAAAAATAATTGTATGGTTGGGGGTCGCCACAACATGGGGAACTGTGTTAAAGGGTCGCAGTATTAGGAAGGTTGAGAACCACTGAGCTCAACGGTGTATGCTCTAACTCCAAGCGACTCTGCCTCCTCATCCGCATGAGATTCCAGAATGCAGGTGTCAAAGAAAATGAATTCAAAATAAAAACCGCAACCAATGACAACACAAGCTCACCTATGCTGGAATTCCTGCTGCTGCGGGGTTTGAAAACAGTGACCAAAGGAAAAAAGATCTTCAGCTGGGCGTATAGTAATGTCACGTCCTTGCCACGGAATATCTGGCATGAGTTAAAATATCTGACATCAGTTGAAATTTAAAATAGGAGTTGAAATATTGAACAGGAATTGAAATATGTAAAATGAGTTAGAATATTTCAGATGAGTAAAAATATGTAACATGAGTTAGAATTTCTAATACGAGTTTAAATACCTAAAATAAGTTAATATATCTAACATGAATTAAATTATGTAACATGAAATAAATATTTGCACAGATGTTAGAATAGATAAGTTAGAATATCCAGCATCCCCCGTGTGGGTTCCAGGGCCCTATTGTGGGGAAAACAAGAATAGACCCACTGCCTCCCCAAAAGCATGTCATAAGAGTCGACTACCTGGGGAGCTTCCTTTGAAGTCGGAGTGCATCTGCCTGAGAGGCAAGGAACCAGCAGTCTACATTCAATTGAATCAGATCTGTAAAACTGATGCACACGCAAAACTCAGGTTCTGGAGCAGGGCTGCAGTCGAGAAGTGGACGAACAACCAGAACTTTACGCCAGAGTGTACAGCTGGTGAACGCAAAGAAGAAGAAGAATATCCAGCATGAGTTCAAAACATCTAACATAAGTGGATAATCTAGCTTCAGTCAGAATACATAACTTGATTTAAAATATGCAACATGAATTCAATACCTAACGCAATATATAATATTTCATATGTTAGAATAGATAACATGAGTAAGAATGTACAATTGGCCAACTGATGTCTTAGCCTCTGACCACATTAATCAACACCATCCACAAGCCCTTTGGCTGTTCTGATTGGGATATTGAACGAAAATTGATAATTATCCATCACCTTTAGCTACCCCTATAAAAACCACTGACAGTATGTGCAGTTCTGATACACATTCATTTGAATCTTCACCAGTGACAGTTTGTGAACTGTGCTGAAATTCTCCTCATGTGATACAGCTGGAGGAGACTACAACAGTGATGGTGATACCCTGAAGCCCCGCTAATGCTGAGAGCTAGGCTGGTCTTGTTTTTGATTGGGTTTTTGTTTTTTTAAATGTATGATGTCATTGGGCTGTGGTCACAAGGCCTGGGTAAGAGCATTGGTGTTGCAACAGCACAGTGTATAGGCATGGTGGATATGATTATACCTTTAAACAAAAAATTGATGAAATATTTTCCGGAGTGAGAACAAAAATGTCCTGACATGATAACACTATAATAAACTTTGAACATTACTTTTATCTGCGTGGCTATGCTGACAACACCAAATCTTTTGTGGTCAAAGTGAGCAAAAGCAGGTAATTCTTACCTTCTTTTGTATTTAGTGATTAAATCCCTTACCAGAATACAAATCGTTTGCACTTGAAACTTACAACAGGCTTTTTTTTAAATGTTTATTTTACTCATTTTGGGCTGTGATGCACTAGCTAGCAGACTCGCCTGTCTGCTTGGTTGTAATAGGTTTGAACCGTCTAGATTTGTTTTTAAAGCTGAAATTAAATTTGGAAAAAGTAGGTCATTGTTAAAGATTTTTACAGGTTGAATGTTGAATTAAGAATCGATATAGTGTTGATCACTGGCCAGATCTGGTAACTCCCTGCAGCGCCATTCTCCTCAGACCGTAATGATCTATTTGTACTTCCACACTGTTCACTCGCTCCCAAAGGGCCCTCACAATATCTAGCTTGCCATCCATCAGTTGACCACCAAGTGGTGCAGAACTAGGCAGTCTATCTTCCTGCTTATTTCCTAAAACACTGGCATGACCTGGAGAAAATATTATAGGCTGAAATAGTTAACAAACCCAACCAAACACAATTTGAAACAATAAAACAGGATCTTACTTTAGCAACAAATGTCCCTCCTTTCTTCAGAACATGTGTAGTGATGTTTAGGGCCTGAGAATTAGCAAGCACGCACATATTAGATTCACAGTCTAGAAGGGTCGGTAAACATTCAACATTTGTAGAATGAGTAAACAAACAACACTAAGTCAGTGACTTTCTGAATTCTACTTCTTCTTCTTTCATTCGCTTGAAATAAATTATTTAATTATCTATATCTGCAATGCTGTCTCTAGTATGAACTTCAGTGTCTTTTGTAATTCACTTAACGGCCTGTAAAGTTTTGCTCCCTCCAGTGTCTCTCTTGGCCAGAAGTTTTGCCTGGAAACGTTGTATTTACTTTCCTAATAAACTTTGTCACGGTAGGGACCCTTTTACTTTTTTGTTTAGGTTACCATGATTTGCTGGATTTTTTACTTTAGTGTTTAATTATTAAATGACACCTGCAGAGCACAGACAAAATTATATGACTTTAAAAATTTACTTTAAAAATTTACTAACGCAGATTTCAGTGAATGAAAAGGTGAGGAAAAGATGCTGGCATTGGATAAGACATATGATTTTTTTTTTTTTTAACCTTTGGCCCCATCAATGATGGCAGATTGTAGGATTAATATCTAAAGGATGAGAATCAAACAGGTACAAATCCCGGAAACCCTGTTTAACCATAAAGTCATACAGTCCAGTTATATTGGTGCACCACAAAACGGTTATGAAGTAATCCTTAGTCCAGTATGAGTGGGTCTCTCTAGTTTCTCTTGAGTATTTCTGTTGAAAAAATCCAATAATAACATAATCAGATTGTCTTTGCAATGGAACCTACAAGGTCAGAGGAATAAAGAAGACAAACAATCCACACAAAAAGCATGGGAAGGAAACTAGAGATGGAAGTTTAAAAGATAGGGAGGATGTGGGGTGAGCTGCATACAACAGGAAAGAATACAATGACATGGTGAGAGCGCTTCATTGGGAGATAAAAGGCAGAAGAGGAAGGAGAAGAAAAGACCATGTAGTCTACACTTAGCAATTTTCAACAGCCTTGAAATCTCAATATGTACAAAGGATATAGATAAACCTCAAGATGCTCCTCTTTCTCAACAAATGTCATATGGTAAAGACGATGATCACTGCAGAGATACAAGGCTTATACTGTTTAGATATGCCCTCCACAAATCCAGACTCAGGCATCCTTAGACATACTGTTTACCTCCCCATGTGGGTTCCGGGGTCCCACTGTGGAGAAAACAAGAACAGAGCCACTACCTTCCCAACATGCATGTCCTAAGTATCGATTAACTAGGGCTTCCTTCAAAGTCAAAATACATTTGCCTGAGAGGCAAGGGACCAACAGTCTGAATACAAATAAGCAAGATCTGTAAAATGGATGAACATGCAAAACTCAGGTCCTGAAACAAAGCCAAGTCCAGAATGGACAAACAGCCAGGTCTTTCCTCCAGGGTTTACAGTCGGTAAACGCAAACAAACAACAAACTGTCTACCCGGCGACCACATTTTTTGGTCAAGAAAGAAAATGAACAAACCCCAGCTCCTTAACAAACATGTCATAAAAAGTGATTAATAGGAATTTGCTGAAATCGGATGGGTTCCCTAAAAGCAGAGACATCACAGACTATTTATAAATCCCAACACAATATATCAACTGCCTTTTTAAGGGCAAACGCACAAGAATGCTATGAAAAAATATTGTTTGAGCTGTTACTGTATTATCAAATATCTTCAATCAACAGAAACATCAAGAAGCACAATTCTTTCAATCCCAGGCAGGTATCGGTAAACACCTCAATTCCTAAGTATTTATGTACCCAGTTATATTAGTTTAGAGCCACAGTGGTTAAAATAGCCACAAACAGACACCAAATGGGTTAAAGTAGCATTTGGGTTACCACAGGTTATTATATAAGGACTATCTCACAGACCTTACAAAAGAAAATAGGCCTTTTGAGCTGAAATACTTTTTAAAAAATTCTCAGAACCACAGAGAAAGAAAAGAAGAAATACTGACATTTTAAAAGATCAGAACATCAAGGAAGTTTGGCTAATAAACAGTATCTTTTCTCCAAAGCTGAAATAGTTTGGTCATATTAAGCGCCTTGGCAGATTGAAAAAAATAATAGCAGAAGGCATGGTACCAGGAAGGAGGGGCAGGGGCCAACCGACATTAAGCTGGGCACAGGATGTTACTCCTTGAATATGAAAATGCATAAAGAGGGAGAGCTGGCGAGAATTTCCTTCAGGTAGACTGTGATGAGCGCAACGTTCGGCAAAGGTCTTGCTACATGATGATGATGATGACAACGACTTGGGGAACAAAGTGTTTAGAAAAGGCAAATCAAGTACGCAGTAACCAGTATACACAGGGTGAGTTGACTGGGACTGAATAAAATAAAAAACAACAGTAAAACTGCTAGCTGTGGAAGCAAGAATGAAGTTAAAGTAAACACAACTCACAGCAAGTAACAGCTGAGCTTGAATGTACTCATCAATGTCATGCAGGCCTGTCACTGGAAGAAACAGAATCAAGTTAGTGACAGAAACAATCAATTTCAAAGAGAAGTAGACTGGCCAGCTTTCTAATAAATGACAATTGTGAACTGCAAAATTAGTTAGTCATTACGGTTCCGGCATCACAGCAAATGAGCTTGGCCCATAATTGCTCAACCGCCTATGCCAGTGATTTCAGTCACAGAGTCAGATATGCTGAATACTTCTAGTGAAAGCTGTAGCCAAAATAGTGTCCTCAGCCAGCAAAACACACACGATTTGATCTGGCAAACCATAAGGTAATGCCTCCTTAAACATACTGCGAGACCAGGCGTCATCGCTAAAAATGAACTTCATTCGACGAATAGCTGGGCGATGAGTAGATTAAAACTATTCCTGACCATTCTCCACATGTCCTCGGCCAAGATGCCGCCACGGCCAGCAAATAAATAGCAGCTATAGCCTACGCCTTGTTCCAGGAACACAACAAATAAAAATACATCACCCATCATTGCCATTATGTACAAATCTGAAACTCAGTCAATAACTGATAATCACAGCTCACTGTGCCGCCAGGAGCACTAAACTCAGTAAGTAGCTTTGGCTGCAAACCAGACTTCCACAATCTTGCAACATTGAAACTGGAGGAGAAACGGCGACGAGAACGGTCAATATTAACCAAGTTCTCAACCATCATCCATTCCCTATCAATGTCGGAACCGCAAGTCCTGCAAAATTAGTCCCAACGCTTAACCACATGAATACTATCCTTAGATGTATGCTATATCAAGTAGGTCAGCTAATCCAGGAGACTGCTCCCAGTGATCCTTGGCCACTGCATCATTAAGGAAAATGAAAGAGCTGACCACTAAACAAACACTGGAAATCAGAATAGCCAAAGGATGCATTTATGAGGAAAATAAAATTCAGATCAAGGCAGACATTAGAACCCACTGGAACCTCTTCCCATCTATAATACAATCCTGAAAACCCAATCAACCTCCTCAAACAGCAACACACCTTTACTCAATGCCTATATTATACTCTGTACTCGATACTGTTCAACCGAATTCAAGTACCTAATTTATGTGTAGTATTTAACCTAATTTACAAATGATAAGAACATTCATTAACATTGAGAAAATGATTCATTACAATAACACACACAAAATCAAGCAAAACAAAAAACAGACAGAAAGCAAACACAGATATTAAAATAAAGACAGAACATACCATCAGGTGCACCATCGCAGACAACTAAATCAGCCTGCTCCCCTTCAAAATGGCCAATAATGGCCTGAGCTGTAGATTTCTGGAGGGATTGGGTGGGAATAACAATCATTAATGTGTTGCAAGTAACAGGCACCAAGTCAGCAAGGGTTTTCTTAAACCTAACAAAAATTCAGTTCAGACTTTCATTTTTAGGTGCTCTCAGATAGTGATTTTTTTTCTCTCCTAGAAACAAAGCTGCCTCACCTCACCAAAAAGTTTACAAAAGGTGCCAGCACTCACCACAAAATGTATGTTACAGCAGTGCTTACATAAAAAATAAAAACACTTGTCAACGCCTAATTTTGCCAATGAGCTTATGACTTTCTCCCTTCTCAAGGACTGTCTCATCTGTTTTTCTGTCATTCCACAATATTTTTTGCACTCTGCTGAAAAACCACATCTTTGTTGCAAGTAAATGGTGCATTGACATCCATTATAATAAATCCAACAGGGTACAGCAACCGAGTGTCAGTTCAATGTCTTGGACACAAACACACATCAGTGCCGACATTTTATGAATGTGTGGAATCTCAGCTTGTCCCATCCTAAAATGTGTACCAGGAAAACACCTGGGAAATTAGGGTGGGCAACCTCTGCCTTGATGAAGATCTGAATACTGACCACTGGGTCAGGAGGCAAGCATACTTGCCACTGCATTACTACACCTCCCCTTATGTTAGCTACTGTGTTACAATTACACTGGGGCAACCACTGTCGGCTACCAACCTTTGTAATGTCTCCCTGTAGCTGTATCACTCCAGGAATTGGAGCCATGGCTTGTAGATCAACTGCCACGATTTTTGCATCTGACTTACTATCATTTTCTCCCCTGTGAAACGTGGAAAGAGAATAAAACAATTTACCATCAAAATAATGGAAATGGGCACAACAAATAAATAACCTGTAAATTAAACAATTTTTTTACTTTGCTTTACTAAGTTGCTCCTCTTCAAACCTGGGGTGTAGAGGTTTGCAAGAGAGATTGCCAGACTTCTCTATCAGTAGTTTTCTTTCTGGTTTTGTTCCATTCCTTTCCTCTGTCAGTCAGGGACTGTCAAAAGTTTTCCCAGCGGAACCTGGAGGGCTAGTTCCCTGGTTCTTAGCCTACCACGGGGGCCTATTTTCTCCTATTTTGCACACATGTCCAAACCATCATAACTGTGATTCATCCACGAGCTTGTAAGCCCTGAGTTTCAAGGTTTTGATGTATTGTCTGATTGTGAACTTTTCCCTTTTTTGTCACTTAGACGACCTTTCTCAGATATCTCATTTCTGAGGTCTGAAGCTGGCTTTTGTGACCAGTTGTCATTGTCCTTGACCCTAAAGGTCAAGACTTGCCCATAGTTAGAGCAGTAAACAGCCATTTTCACCTCTTGCCAATTTCTCTTTTCCTAAGAAATCCTTTGTTTATGGAATGGAAGTCTCCCAACAGCTGCTTTTCAGTCATGTGTTAATTGGAATTCTAGGTAGGAACCTATAAATGTATAATGCGTTCCTTGGGACTCAAAGAGTTTATGCCTATTACAACTCCAAGGTATTCAACTGGTTGACCTGCTCCAATGCATACTGTACCATTATGATCTGATGCTTCTTCTTCTCTCTTGAGATCACCATGGCTTTAGTGTGGCATTGGTAGTCATGTCTATCTGTAATGATGCTATAAATAGGGATAACGTCAGGGGATGACTGGCATAATTGGGTAAGTCCCTGAGAGCATGGGTTTCACGGAGATATGGTGAAACGACAAGAGAGAGTGAGTCACGTGTGAATGTGAGATCTGGGAGATTGAGAATCAGGTGGTAATTCGGTGACTGGGCCCCAGACTGGAAGGATGTGCAACTGAATCTGTGAAGATGAATCCAGAAAGAAGAGAGCACGTGGATCTGAATCTGAATCTGAGTCGAATGAATGATCGTGAAGGCCAGCTGTTGTGTTACACTGTTTGATTGTTGAGCCAGCCGTGAATATGCCACCAGTGTCCATCGTCTGAAGCATGTCTGGAGCTTTAATGCGTGAGCAAGGCGAGATTGTCCGAATGGTGTAGGTTGATTCTACTGTTGATTCGTGTCTTGTGCTACAGTGATAATAAACTCGTGAAATGTGTCAGCTGGTGTCAACCGTCGTTTGAAGTCGTGTGACCATGGAGAGAAATGCCGTCTGGTTATATTGAGCTGTGACCTAACCTCTAGACAACAGAGTCAGTGTTGAATCTGCACTAGAGAGATCAAGTGTGGAGGAGACACAAGTGCATTCATTACACTATCCACAACCTTCTGTCGTTTGTACTTTCAATTAACTCTGACACATATGATCCTCTATGCCATAATGTCAAACTGTCCAGCATCTTTTCTCTTGGTCTCCCTCTGCCTCTCCTCCCCTCTGACTTTTCTACTGTCACTATGTACTCCAGTTTTCTCCTTCTTATCACATGATCAAAGAATGCAGATTGTCTCTTTCTGATGTGAGTCAGTTTCTTTCAAGAAATGTTTATCTGTCCAGGGTATTATCATCATTCATCTATAAAAACACGTCTCCGCAGCTTCCATATAATTGTTCCCTAATCTACCAACTGTCCACGATTCACTTGTGAGTTGACTGCAATGCCGAAATACTGGTGTTCAATGACGAAAGTTGTCAGGTTTGACTGCCACGATTTTGTTTTGTTTTTTAAATTTACTTTATTGCCGTCTCCAAAATGAAGGCTGGCTTCAGTGTACTAACTGCTGTCTCAATGTGGTATGGCTCCAATCTTTTAAATAGTGCAACTTTCCTTTCACTGTCCACAACCCCAAGAGCGTGTTGTTGTTGTTTTTTTGTTTGTTTTTTAATAAACTGTCTGCTGTGAAATTAGAAGCCTAGTTCTTGAAGATCATGAAATCTGACTTTGCTAGTTCACTGAGAAAAGACATGCTTAAATAATTGCTAATATCTGTATATTTTTTGCATGCTCCTAGTCATACTGTGAACGTATACATTGTGTAGTCTGAATTATTCTTCTTCTTCTTTCATTTGCCTAAAATAAGTTGTCTATATCAGCAATTTTGTCTCTTGTATAAATTTCACTGTTGTTGTTAATTTATTCAGTGGTCCATAGAGTTTATGTTCCACTGTTGTTCTTTCTGGCAAAAAGGTTTGCCTTAATGTGTCAAATTCGGTGCAGTCCTGGAGTACATGATTTGCTGTTTGAGGCACCTTTCCCCATGTACACATGGCTGATACGCCTATATTGAATTTTGTGTACATGTGGTTATGTAATCGGTTGTGCCCTGTTCTGAGGCAGAGGATAATGACTTGTTCTGATCTGTCTATAATAAAATAGTCATCTTGTGCTGGGGCTGGCGGTTTCCTGATTGATTTAATGATTCTTTTCTTTTGGTGGTATGTGACTGGTACATCCGGCTGCACTTTTGTTGCACCTTCGCCTGCCAGTTGATCAGCTTTCTCATTTCCAGGCACTCCACAATGTGATGGTATCCACTGCAATACAACTCTTCGCTGAAGGCTAAGTTGTGTCAGCAGTGTTTGCATTTCTGGTAGTTTCCTAGACTGGAGTGCTTCAAGTACTGATTTTGCATCTGTCAGCATTACCACACACTGTGAGCCAAGATTGGTATTTAGCAGTTTCTCTGTTGCTATCTTGATAGCCTGAGTTTCTGCATCCTAGTTATGGCAGTACTTTCCAGTTGGTACGCTGGACTTATCCCTAGTACCATCTGGGAATTCTATGTACACTCCAGCACCACCATTTCTAACTGAATTTTCTGCGGACCCATCTGTATAGACTCTGACCCATTGTTCTTGTGGGTATTCTTTATCAATATAACTGAGGGTGGCAATTCTGCATTGTACACTATCTTGTTCTTTCTTGTCAAATATTCCTTTCACATTTGTCTGGATTTGTACTGTTAGCTTGCATTTCTCTCTCTATGGGGTTTGTTCTGGAATACTGTTAAGTGGACAACCAATTTCTGGAAGGTCAGCAGTGTAGTCTGAATGAAATATGACATCTAAATTGCAAAGTCTGGACCCTTTGCAAATAAATTAATTTTTCCATATACACAGATAGTCTTCTAGTTCTTCTCAGAGTTCATTGACTGTAAACTCCAGCAGAAAGTTCTGGTTGTTCATCCACTTCTGGACTTGTCTTGTTCAAAAACTTTGTGTTTTGCGTGCCCATCCACTTTACATATATATTTTATTTACATGCAGAATGTTGGTTCCTTGCCTCTCAGGAAAAGGCACTTCAAAGGAAAAATCTCTAACTAGTTTACTTTTATGACATGCTTGTTAGGGGGGAATTTATTCCCCACAATGACCGCTGAACCCATAAGAAGAACATACAGTTTTATACAAAACCTGAGTTTCTTTGCCAATACTTGACTCCAGCTGCCTGGTGCCGCGCAAAGGTCTACCACTCTCTTGACACCTAATAAATATAATCTACGGGTTAATTTATTGTTCACATTAATGTACACTGTCACAAGAAGCATTATCATATAAACTTCACTTCAAATTACCAACAAACCTTTGTATACACTGTTCACACTAAGTATTATCAAACAAACATTATACAAGTTAATATAAGTGCTCTAGTTAGTCAACAGATCATCATCACTGCACATTCAATCCATAGGTGCTTGAATCCCCTCTTCAGCAAATCCCACAGCAGGTAGCGGTTGACGACACCAGTTCTGTGTTGGTTTATTCTTTATATTTGACTTCCTGCATTGTGCTCTTGTCCAGTCTCACTCCTTCTCACTTGCTTTTTTGTGACATGATCATGGCTGCAGGCTTTTAATCATCACTTGGTTCTCAAAAATGTCTCATTTCTTCTTCTTCTTCGTTCACCGTCTGTGAATTCCGGCGGAAGGTCGAGGTTAATAGTCCTCTTGAACTTTTGGCTTTTACCTGGACCTGAGTTTTGCGTGTACAACCGTTTTATTGGCTGTTGCCGTTCCCTGCCTCACGGGCAGATGTACTCCGACTTCGAGGGAAGACGTCAGGCCTATTTCTAGGATGACTGTGGCCATTGTTTTGTGTGGGTCTAGATGTTACTTTATTTATGTGGTGTCCTCTTTGTCCCTTTCTCCACAGGTGTTGCCCCCGGAGTACCACCTTTGGGGCAGCCCTGTGTGGAACGTTAGCCCTCAAAGGTTAGCTCACCCAAGGAATCATCACATCCTGCACATAACCTGCTTAACCTCACAACGGTATTAGGCTTCCCACTCAACACGGGCTGCGCCCTCCAGAGATCAACAGGGAGCAGCCCTTAGGTTCTGGACTTTTGTGACCCCACGAATAGGTACAATCTTTTTTATCGCACGATTGTCATCTTTAGTGTGCTGTTAGCATTGCAGAATAGAGAATTCTGCGTGAGTCAGGAGAGCGGCTTTAGCGTGGACATGGCACACCAGCTGGAAGTGTCAGTGTTGTGGGGTGAAAAGTTTAATATAACAATTACAGTAAGGCAACAGAAAGTCACATTTATTTAAGGAAGGGATTGTTGTTATTTTTTTTTTCACTGAACTAGGTCAACTTAGCCTAGAAAGAGTACCAGGAAATGCCTGGAAACTTCAAGTAGTCACCCTGCTACTAATTGCATTGCCTATCTTATTTTTCTTGTAGTTGCAATTTCTCCCCTCCATAATAAGCAGTCTATAGGATTAACACCCTAAGGATGAAAATCCTATATGTACTAATTCTAGTAAGCCCAATTCAACTGTAAGGTGATGGTTACAAAGTAACCTGAAGTCTGGAACAGGCAGGGACATAATTATAACCCAATGGAGTACAGACCCTCAATCCACTCAGGCTAAGTCCTGATAATATTTTGCTTTTGCTGCAGGCTTCTCCATATTATTCACCTTTATCTCTAACTATATTCTTATGTATATTTAGGTCTCCATATACCCCCCCCCCCCCCCCCCCAAGCACCCAATGTGTACATCCCATGAGATCTAGTGTGTGCTACATAAAATGGCAATGTGAGAGTTAATTCAGCATTTACAAAGAGTCATTCCTCACCCTCAAATATACTGAAATCATCATTGATCTGTAGAAGTTTGTAAGCGCTCCGAGCTCTCCACCCTTCCTCTTTTGCCCGTCTGTAGTAAACATCCCTCTTGTCTTTTGATGACTTTCCCATGCTGGAAATGACTACAAAAACTAAAAGTTTTTCATCACTCTGGAAATATACTCAGTGTGTGGTGTATATGTGTGTATGAGTGTCTGCAGATGAATGGGTTAAAAAACCTCATACATTTTTATATAAATGGTCAAATCATCTCAGACAAAAACAAACTCAAAGGTCACTGAGCATCTTGCATTTGTCAATCCTTGACTGGAAAGTCTACATACTTTCACTGTCGATCAGACATCATACAGGAGACTGTTCTGACACAAGCTGATAACAAACTGTAAACCTCAGAATGTGACAACTCACTTTAGTATCAACAACTTCTCTCATATCTTTTTCTTCTTTGCGTTCACTGGCTGTAAACTCAGGCAGAAAGTTCTGCTTGTTTATCCACCTCTGGTAAAGAGTAAAGTAAAGGACCCATTTCCATGCCTTTAGGCGTATAGGGCTAGACCTATATTGCAAAGACCAATCGGAACAAGATGGGTGATGTGGTCAGCATGACGCCGGCCGCCTTTACTTCCTGGAACTACTCAAGGCTGGGTTAACCTGGGAGCCAAGGTCTTTTTTTTTTAAAAGTCCGACTCCGCCAGGGAGCGAACCCACGACCTTTTGATCCGCAGCGAGCGTCTAGCTATGCCATGCTGATTCCCATCCTCTTCTTAACTTAAGTATTTTTCGAGAATCGAAGTGTTGTATGCGCATCCATTTTACAAATCTGATCTATTAGAATACAGTCTGTTGGTTTCTTGCCTCTTGGGCACATGTACTCTTTGAAGAAGCCCCCTAGTTAGTTGACACTTATGACATGCTTGTTGGGGAGGCAGCGGGTCTAGTCTTGTGCTCCTCACAATGAGGCCCAGGGACCCACATGGGGATTCTCTCATATGATTTATTGAATAAATCCCCCCCCCCCCCCCCCAAAAAAAAAATCTCAAAATCTCAGTTCTTTGTACAAGGATACCTCACTAGGTGTTCCAGTCTCTTCCCAAAGAACCCACAAAAATAATCTCACTGCGCTGTGTGAACTCATTAGCAACTGCAGGGTTCTGCTGGCTTGAGAACCTGCTGCCCACACATGTTGTGACTAACTGACTCACAGAGCTGAGTGAGAAAGGTGCAGACAGGCATACTCCATGCAGATTGGCAAGCTTTGCTTCTCCAGGGAATGTTAGTATGTTGGGAAATAATCAGGCAGATAAACTGGCTGGTTCTGCAAAACAAGGTGTTAAACTGATGCAGGACAAGCCACATTTGTAACAGCCTTTTGGGAGTGAGTAAACAGTGTGGAGGCACAAAAAGACCATCAAGCACTCAAGAGAATGGTGCAGCTTAGAGTGACCAGGAGATTTGGCAGATGATGAATATTCAAGGAAAGGCTGAGACAGACATACAACCAGACTGTTACTGGTACCATCAAAACTGAAACTCTGCATTTGCTGCTAAAGATGGGGACAGAGTACTTATAGGAATGTCCTAAGTGTCGTGATGTTGGTTCTTAACTAGTAACGCATTATGTAACTCAAGCACAAGCAACTATCCAAACCAGTGTATAAATACTTAATATTAATAGCAACTGCTTTAAACAACCCTTTTCTAATTCTGAACATTAAATAATCTGGACAGTCATAGTGCATTATTTTCATTTTATTTCCAACTGTCGAGATTTTTTTTTTAGGTCTTTCCAGATAACAGTGTTATATTATGCTATATGGAGGTATGGGGGTCAAAGACCATGTGGCTAGCAAGATCCAGCCATGTTGAGAAAAGTCTTCCACAATCACAGCAATCGGAGTGAAGGATCACTGTTGCATCCACATGTATGTATTTAGCATGCTTCTTCTTAGATACTCACCTCTTGACCTTTTTTTTTTCAAATATTTTCTCATTTATCCCTATTACCTACTCCTGCTCTGATTTTCCCTTTCCATGCAACAGGATCCATAATACAATTAGTAATTATTTTGAATGACCCATAGTGTGGGTTCCATGGCCTCCTTAGGTAAGTGTGCACATGTGAGAGTGTTGTTTGTGTGCATGCATGCATGTGCATGTGTTCTGAGCATCAGCCAAATCCACTGTTAACTGCTCACTCGGTAATGATCTATTTGTGCCTCCACATTGTTCACTCTCTCCCAAATGGCCCACCCTACATCTAGCTTGTCATACATCAATTCACCACCAAGTGGTGCAGAAATAGCCAGCCTATCTGCCTGCACATTTCCCAACACACCTGTATAATCTGTGTTTACAGCTGATTCTCAAGCCAGAAGACAGCAGTGACTGCCTCCACCTCCATTCTCAAACTAGACATTGTGATATAATATGCCAGGTTTTGTTGCACTAAGCGATGTTCATTCGCCTTTACTGTGAATCCCCATGCACTTCATCTGTCCCTCAACACAGAGCCATCTGTATAGACAATCATATCACCTGGGTGGGAATTATCATTAACCATTTGTTGAACTTCTGATTCTGCAGCACCAGCTGGCAACGTGTAACAAAACATGCAACGTGTAACAAAACTGCTGTGCAAGGCAGGGTTCAGGACTCTCTTGGTTAAGGACTTGTGGTGTTGATGTGTGACCAGACCGTTACATTGTGATAGTTTCATTGACAGATCGTATTGACTTGTAGAAATATACCATCGTAATTATAAGCTGTAAGGCGTACTGTTCATAGTGTAATTAAATGTATTTAATAAGTTGAAGGGTAGATAATCATCATCATCATCATCAGGTGCCTTGCCGACTGGTGTGGGCCATCATGCCTCTCCATAATCCATGATCTCCTGCAGCATGTATCAGTTCGTGTGCCGACACACCTCCATGCCATGCAACAAGACTGTCAAGAATCTTCTCTCATTGTCTTCCTCTATCCCTCCTTCCACAGATCTTCCCAGTGGTCACAACATGTTCTATTTTCCCTCTTCTCATAACATGGTCAAAAAATGATGACTGTCTCCTTCTGATGTCTGTGATATGTTGTCTTCGGGCTCCGGCCTCTTTCAAAACCTCTTGCTTGCTCTTTTTGGCTGTCCAAGGTATTCTAAGCATTCTTCCGTAAAACCACATCTGTGAGGCCTCAAGAAATTGTTTGGCCTGACTACCGATTGTCCAGGATTCACAGCCATATGTTAAAACTGGATGTATGTAGCAAGCAAGAATTCTTTTTCTATCTCCCAATGACAAGGAGGATAACCCAGGGGGTAGATAATACGTGTTCCATTTAGATCTCAGCATTAGATTTAGGGTAGTAGCTAGACTTTGTCAGTAGTTATAACTCTTTACGATAAGCCAGACCATGCATTGTTTGTGGCATTAGCACGGGTTGACGCATCTCTAGCCCACACGTGGCGTGTGCCATAGCGGCTTTGGCATCGGGAGACAGCAGGTTGAGTTAGCGCTGTACGGGAGTGTGGTAGTGGCTCAGAGCTTATTTCATGAACGTGAAAAGGCGCCTCTAAGCAATTTTAGAGTTAAAAGCCGCCTTGTTTCAGAATAAGGAGCACAACCCCTTCTGAGGGGTTCATCACCTACTTTGTTTCTTTTGATAATAAAGATTGTGTGTGTTTCAACCAGTGTTTGGCTTGGGTGTGTTTGTCGGCAGTGTTTTTCTGTCATTAGCCTGCAGCGTAACCAATGGAATCGAACCCTAGACACTGACATTCTTGACAGTGATTAGAATGCTACACAAGTCTGAATTTTGCTCAAATCTATCAAGCTTGCACACACGTCTAATTGTGTCTTCAGCTGAAAACCATTCAAGACCTTCCTCTTTTCAGTCTGTAACCCTTAGCTCTACCAAAGCTTCATGCAGGAGGCACTTCTTTTCTGCAGCTACTCTGAGATATGTCCAGAGAACACCATAATACAGCCGTATTTTCTGATTTGATGACAGCACCCATCTCTGCACACCCATCAGTCAATCTGTCTACACAAACATCAATTTTTAGACTTCGGAATGGACACTGTGGTCTTCGAGCACACTTGTACAGGATAGGCATAAAAGAATCTGCTGCCTGTGATTGTGGAGCAGAAAGACAGACCCCTGAGCACATACTACAGTACTGCCCTAACCTCTCCCAGCAAAGACTGTGGATCTTGCCCAAAGGAGCCATATTGCAAGAGAAGCTTTGGGGGACCGGTGGCGACCTTAAACGCACAATCCTATTTGTGACCCAGACGGGACTCAATGTTTAGCATGACTGATATCGAATGCAGAAGAAGAATCTGTCTACAGCTCTTGGGCTGTCTGTTGCCTATCGCTTCTCTGCATATATGCATTGCAAGAACATTATTTGCAAATGTCAACATCCTTCCAATGCCTGGTGCTTCAAATTCTGCAATCTTATTTGTATGCACTGGTGAAACTGCAGAAACCTGAAATAGTTCCAGGGCATGGTTCTGAGGTCCATATAACCAGACAAACGGCAACAATACGTGAATGCAGGACAGCTGCTATCAAGTTCACCAGCCAGGGACAAACTCCCTTCAAAATGAGCGCAGATATCAAAATATCATATGACTCTATTGTAGCCATCCTTAAGATCAAGTGCTGCTACTATCATCTTCTGTCTATTCTGGTTTCCCACATAAACATCAAAAGTAAAGTAGCTGCATTTGACTAGGTATCTTTCTTGGCCAGTAACGACCCAAACCTTTTGTCAGGAGCTTTCCTATTTATCTTTCCTACACAAGATGACTAATTCAGTTATCCTCCGAATAAAGGTCCTAAATTATTGAGGCTGAAAATATACCCTAACAGGGCCTCAGTCACATGTCACTTGCGGACTTTCTACGACTTAAATTCCGCGCTTCTGGTGACTTTTGCCACCGATGAGAATATCTCCCCCGCCGCTACGGGCGGCGTGGGTTGGGATGGCTGGGACTCACGAGCAGCAGCTACTGAACTGCATCTCCTGGAGCTTCCATTAATTTAATTTCTCATGAGTCCCAGCCATCTTTTAGCCCCAATCCACGTTACGCTTAACGGCGTGAGAGATACTC